CTGGAAAAATAGTTCATGAGAATTATTATTAGTGATTAAAAGAATTTCTCTGTGTCTCTTCAGAACGGGAGAAATCTCCAGGACTTTGACTGTCAGGTACGTTTTTATTGATTCATGTTCAAACATGTGTCATCTCAGCGTGTTTGTGATTAAACATGTGTCATCTCAGCGTGTTTGTGATTAAACATGTGTCGTGATATTACTGTATTTACACTGTGTTGATGTGATGTGATTGTCCAACGTGTTTCTGTATCCGGCCGTCACTATTATCTGACATGTAACGAATCAGACCTAACGAAGGGGATAATGGATCAATTCATCAGAGCAACACAACGCGTCACATTCAGGAGCTTGTGTGTGACGTGTCCAAACATCAGGCTGAAGTTAGATCGATAATCACACAGTAATTGATCAGCAGGACTAATGTCAGTCTACTTCAGATCACACAGAGCTCCGCCTCTCACAATGATTTTAAACAATGATTTAAAAAGTCAGGTCGACACACGAGGCGTTAAAGAAACCAAATCTCTAAAAAAAAGACTCCTGAGGTTGAGCACATGTTGACGTCTCCTCTCAACATGAATTATATGAACTACACATGTGGTGATGAAGGAGACTTCAATTAAAATCACTCTCGGCCTCGGGTGACTCAAATAATTTATTTATCATATTTTGTGACTTTCTTGTAATTGGTTGTGAAATTCAATTTCCCTGTGGAGGAGGACGAGGAAGAGGAGGAGGACGAGGAGGAGGAGGACGAGGAGGAGGAGGATGCAAGCAGAGGAGAGGAAGGAGTAGAGGCCAGAATAAGATCTGGAGAGAAGACAGGAAGAAAGAAGTGGTTGGCTGTTAAGACCTTTAAGACCTTACGGCTCTCAGCCAATGACAACAGAGATTATTCCTCTTGATCCAATCACACCACCCCCACTGTCTCTTTCTTCTCTCACTTTGCAGAAAGCTAAAGGACAAAATCTGTCCTGTCCCTGTCTCTTGTCTCTGCTTCTCTATTTCCTTCCATCTTGTGAAACCTTCTGACTTTAAACCTCTGAGACTCCTCCTCTCCTCTGTCAGGATGTCTGACTCTCTGGATCTGCATCAGATCTCCTGTTCTTTAGGAGTTGGGGTGGTGAGTTCGTGAGTTAGCGTTTCATCGGCCTGTTCTCCTGAGTCATGCTGCTGCTAACCTGTAGCTGTCGGCTCTGTTAGCCTGTTAGCACGCTCACCTGTTGTACCTGCATACTCACTGTTAGCAGGAAGCTGCTCTTTCGCTAGTATGACAAAGAGATGACAGTTGATTTTTATTTATGTTACATACATTTTAAAATCATTTTCAGAAACAGACAGAAAGAGAAATTCTGAATCAGGAAAATGAAAAGTTGATCTGCAAGAGATAAGAATGAATAAATTGAATCAATTAAAATGTTTTTTGTTTCATTCAAACATCAGTAGAAGTAAACTTGTTTTCAGCTGCTCTGAGGTCTCACAGGTTCATACCTTTAAATCTGTCATGTTAGAAACACACAGGTTCACGTGATAACGTACTGTCATAGCTTGTGTGTGCACGTGCACGTGAAGAAGAACCATTAATAGGATCAGTCGGTTGATTAATGAGATTATGAGACAACATCTCAGCCTTTAAATTCATGAAGCCGTTCACTCTTCTGTCAGCACGAATCACAGTTACACAGAAACCAGCTGAAACACAACTACAGCGGGACACTGACTCAGACATTTGTCTCACATAGAACCTGCAGAACACGTCAGGAACACATCAGGAACATGTCAGGAACCGTGAGGAACACCTCAGGAACATGTCAGGAACACTTGAGGAACACGTCAGGAACACGTCAGGAACACGTCAGGAACATGTGAGGAACACCTCAGGAACATGTGAGGAACACCTCAGGAACACRTCAGGAACACSTCAGGGACACGTCAGGAACATGTGAGGAACACCTCAGGAACATGTCAGGAACACATCAGGAACATGTCAGGAACACGTCAGGAACATGTGAGGAAGGTTATGAAGACTTGAGCAGGTCTGAAAGTTGTTATAATGGATTATCAGTATGTTCAAGTGTTTCAAAGAGAAACAAAATGGAAGCAATGATGGAGGAGGCCTCTGGTTTCTCTCTGCTCTCACCTCGCTGCGTGAACAGAGCCGTTGATCTGGGTCGGTGCTGACAGGAGGATGTTGAGCTCTTGTTTGTTGTTCAGGAGCACGATGTGGAGACGGCCCACGGTGTGCTGCACGTTACCATGAGGGGAGTTGCTAAGGGCAACCGACCCACAATCCTCACCTACCATGACATCGGACTGAACCGTGAGTAGACACACACACACACACGCACACACACACACACACACACACACACTCAATAAACAGGATTAAATACATAATATTATAATAATATATAATAAATATGTGTGTGTGTAGATAAGTCTTGTTTCAACAGCCTGTTTAACTACGAGGACATGTTGGAAGTGACGCAGCATTTCTCCGTTCTGCATGTTGATGCACCGGGACAGCAGGAGAACGCTCCCGTATTCCCCACCGGGTAACACACACACACACACACACACACACACACACACACACACACACACACACATTTATCGCATTTATCAACTAAAGAGCTTGAAGTTTTAATCAGGAAATGGTGGCGACCAAACACAGAGAAAATAGAGCTGTGTGTGTGTGTGTGTGTGTGTGTGTCTGTGTGTCTGTGTGTGTGTGTGTGTGTGTGTGTGTGTGTGTGTGTGTGTTATGCAGGTACCAGTACCCCACCATGGATGAGCTGGCTGAGATGCTTCCATCTGTCCTCACACAGCTTCAGTAAGTTTGAATATTGGTGTATTGTGGGAACTTCCAGGTGGATGTTTGGTTTATTCACCCTGGACTTCATGTTGCGTTCAGGGTGAAGAGTGTGATCGGTATCGGGGTTGGAGCTGGAGCTTACGTACTCACCAAACTGGCTGTAAGTAAATCCTCCCAATTGACTTATAATGAAACGAGTGACTCTGTGGAGAAGCGGTTGTGACGGGACAGACTGTTGTTGGAGGGTTGTTGGTTTGAATCCTGGAGGAGCTGGAAAGCACCACTGATTAAGAGCTCGGTGAAGTTTAGTGGAGAAAGAAAATCACTTCCTCCTTCTCATCCTAAACTAACCTCCTGTTGTTAATCAGAACATTATTCGTATTATTAATATTATTGATATCATTATTATTATTGCTGTTGTGTTGCAGCTGAATGAGCCCAGTCTGGTGGAGAGTTTAGTTCTGATCAACATTGACCCCTGTGCCAAAGGCTGGATGGACTGGGCTGCCTCTAAGGTAACACACACACACACACACACACACACACACACACCAGAAGTCTATGCAGCCGCTCTGTAACTTTCAGTTCAGACTTCTCTCCCGACTGAATTATGTTAAAATGTGATGTTTCTGTTTCAGCTGAGCGGCTGGACGAGCAACCTGGTCGACATCATCATGGGACACCACTTCAGCACGGTGAGGACAGACAGAGACACACAGAGACACACAGAGACACTGCGCTGGCTTCATCAGGATCCACTCACTGAACAGTCTCCTGTGTTTGTAGGACGAGCTAACGGAGAATAAGGAGATCATCCAGACTTACAGACTGCACATCTCCCAGGATATACCCCAGGATAACCTGGTCATGTTCTACAGCAGCTATGACAGGTACGACTCCACAGACAGGGGGCGCTCTTTTACTCCAGGAGATCAGAAAAGATGGACGTGTGAACTGTGCAGTACAAATGTTCCTCCAGTGTCTACATTGGTATTTTGTCTTCCTGTGATGTCATTTCCTGGAGAATCTTCAAATTCATAAAGTCTCTAAAATCTGTACAACCTCAGCGAAAGGTTTTGTCATGAAACAAGTACTGACATCGTTACAGAAGTTACTCACAAAACACTGAGCTCGGACTTGTCTTTCATCAGATTTGGCCAAATTCACATATCGATCCAAAAGATCTCTAGTTTCTGATTCTTCCACTGACCCTCTGGAGCCGGTGGAGAACAAACACAGAGACAAAGGAAACACTGAACAATGTTGTGTTGCAGCTTCTTCACACTGATCAGAGTCGTCAGTTGTTACAGGTTCAAGAACTTTAACAGAACCTTGAACCAGATATGATGAACTTCTGCTCAAGGAGCCACATGGTCGGCTACTGTTTACACAGCTGAAGACGTCACAGTGCTCTGCTGTGTTCCTCAGTGTTCATCCATGACTGTGTGTGTCTGTGTGTGTCTGTGTGTGTCTGTGTGTGTCTGTGTGTGTGTGTGTGTGTGTGTGTGTCTGTGTGTCTGTGTGTGTGTCTGTGTGTGTGTGTGTGTGTGTGTGTTAGTCGTACTGAGTTGCAGATGGAGCGGCCAGTCGTGGGTCTAAATGAAAGCACAGTCGTCACACTCAGGTATCACTTTTTAATTTACTTTGTCTGATTTCTGCCAAAACATCATCATGTTACTCAGCCTCACTGTGTGTGTGTGTGTGTGTGTGTGTGTCTGTGTGTGTGTGTGTGTGTGTGTCAGGTGTCCTGCTCTGCTGGTGGTTGGAGACACTTCGCCTGCTGTTGATGCCGTGGTGAGTGTCTGCACTGTTTCCATGACAACAGCCAGTATGTTATGTAACATCGATGTAACTACTGTGTGTGTGTGTGTGTGTGTGTGTGTGTGTTGCAGGTGGAGTGTAACTCCAGACTGAACCCGACCAAGACCACCCTGCTCAAGGTGTCTGTCTCTCTGTCTCTCTGTCTCATACACAAGAAATAAATCAAACAAATCTAAAACTCATGGAGCCGATAGAAAACTGCTTCAAATGGAAAACACTTCACTTCCTGCTTCCTCCTGAATTAACTGTTCACGACTTTGTGAGCGGAGCCGGTTCAACATGTGTTTATATTTTAGAATTTGGACTCGACTTTAAACTGAGAGTTCTGATGTTCAGTATTTCCATCAGAGGCTCGTGGTCTCACCACATGTTTGTGTCTCCTGTCAGATGGCGGACTGTGGAGGACTTCCTCAGGTGGTGCAGGTGAGTCTGACACTCAGCGATACTCACACTGCTGAGTAAACAACAACATCGCATCAGAACTCACTTCATCATAATGACTACACCAACAACACAACACATCATGACTCCGGCCTCGTGTTCAAGGAGAACTGTTGTTTTATCGTCGTGTTGATTTCTCAGAATTAAACCATCAGTTTATTTTAACTTGTGTGTTTTTCTTTCTGTCCAGCCGGGAAAACTAGCAGAGGCCTTCAAGTATTTTGTGCAGGGGATGGGCTACAGTGAGTATCTGCACTTCACATTAACACACGTACACACACACACACAGACACACACACACACACACACACACACAGTACTGATTATTCACCATCAAAGACAAACGAACGATAACGTGTCTCGGTGAGTTGACTGATGTCTCTCAGTGTTTCTGTCGACGTGATCCTGTTTTATACAAACTGAGAGAAAAGATGAATTCGTTTTCACTTCACCTCAGAGAACTTTGAGATTTGATTAAACACGATATCTCAGAAACACCTTTGTCTTCGGTACAAACTTGGACTCAGAGTTGACCTGATTAGACCTCAGAGGTCAAAGGTCACAGTGAGCTCAGTGTTGAGAGAAAACATTTGTCGATGGAAACTGCAGGTTGTTGATTCTAGTCTCTAGAAACCTAAATAACTTGTTGGTTCACAGAAACTTCTCCAATCTTTCAGAGATTTTGTCTCAACAGATAAAAATGTTTGTTTTATTTGTAGTTTAAATATCAGCTGTTTATAATATTTATTAATCTTTAACAACGGATATTTGGAGTGTGTGTGTGTGTGTGTGTGTGTGTGTGTGTGTGTGTGTGTGTGTTCTACTTTTAAAACTACAGTTGTTCCTCAACCTGTCCTCCTTCCTTCCTTTCTGCTCCTCTTCTTCTTCTTCTCTCACTCTTTGTCTCCTTCAGTCCCTCATGTTGTATTAAAGCACCTGAACAACCAATCAGGTATCAGGATTTCAACCACGATCCCAAACCCTGCACCCCCCCCCCACCTCCGTCCATTTCCATTTATGTTGTTATTTCCTGTTAGTTTCCCGTCCAACTGTCTATCTGTCTTTCTAACTGTCTTTCTAACTGTCTGTCTGTCTTTCTGTCTGTCTTTCTGTCTAACTGTCTGTCTTTCTAACTGTCTTTCTACCTGTCTGTCTGTCTGTCTGTCTAACTGTCTGTCTTTCGAACTGTCTTTCTAACTGTCTGTCTGTCTGTCTGTCTGTCTGTCTGTCTGCATGCTCTTGATCAGCTGATCACACTGATTATTTTTCCTCTGCAGTGAAAGTGACCAGCAGGGTGCGCTGCATGTCAACTCCTGGCTGCGTTCGCACTGCAGACGTCTGACTCTTGTCCCCGTGATAAAACTCACTGACGTGTGACATGTGACATGTGACACGTGACACGTGTCCTTTCTGTTTAGAAGAACGTGTCTTCTGGTCAAACCACAAAGTGATGATGAAAAATCTGTTGTAGAACAAACATTGATTTATGAAGAAATCAGTCCACATCGCCATCTAGTGGAAAGAGCAGGTCAATACTGTGATTTTAACCAACTTCACCAAACGTCTTCAGTGTGAACGAGCCTCAGACTCATCATATTTGAATCCAGCTGCTCGACTGCAGTGAGGACGATTCAAATCCCCCCAACACACACACACACACACACACACACA